GAGAGGATTCTTGAGATGGTCAATATAGAGTGCAAAAAATTCCTCAAGCATTTAGGATACGCTTCATAAGAAACCACAAAGAGCGCATGCATCAAGGATGCAAATCCCCATAATTATAACTATGAGCCCATGGCCTTCCGACTGCGCTACCGCGATCAAACGCTGAGCAGAGAAACTGCTCGGTTCGTTTATCTGACCGACACAGCGGTGTAGTAAAGAGATAAAACAAATCCACAACTTTGACCCCATAATTGTTTCGTATATTCAAAACGCCGACTGAGATCAGCGTTCGAAAACCATTACGGCGGTATACATCTCATCTTGAATAGTCACTGCGTGACTCAGAAAAACTGCAAACTTGGTGCTACTGTTTTGTGAAATATTTTTTTCCCCGGATCACTACTGTAAAAATTTGAGAATCAGAGAGGTATCCTCAGTTCTTGGGTTCTGGTACTCAAATTAAGTAAGTCGACTTTAGCATTCTTCATTCGTACTCCGCCCAAACCAAATTGGTTTGATATATATGATACAGGAGAAAGCCTGCCAAAACGAATTCTAGCAAATCTTTCAGAAGATCCTTCCACACGCGGTGAACCACCAGTTGCTGGGGAACTCCTACTTGCAGAGGAGAACAAAGGCATGACCATTAGATAAATTTACGTTGCTTACAAGGTACTCATGTAACCCAAACACTTAAACTGCTCTGGCCGTAATTTCACAGCGAATATGAACGGGCTACGATCCGAGCAACACAGAAAACCACGTTCATCTTGTCTCCTTGCATTCCGAGAGCCTTGTTCATGTAAACGAGTTTTATGAGTCTGTTTTCCGAGAAATACCAGAACCAATAGCTTCGACAAACTTCCTTCAATCATTATCTCAGCTCTCGCTTAAGCTGCCTAACATTCACTTGATCAGGGTGTTCTTGAAGTAAACCGGCAGTATTGTGTGGATAGGTAAGGTCTAGACATTCCTCCACTCAAGGCATTGGATTTGATTAGCAGTCTTAGTGACAGAATTTTATTCAGCCATCCTTAACCTGTAGAGGGAATGCCATGAGAAAGATGGCTATATGCGGGACTTCTTATCGCTCTCTTGTATCATGAGCTACGATCAGAAATGCTATGCGTCAGTCAAAATAAGGTTCAAAGGGCTGACGAAAACCTCAAGTTTGTTTTGCCACCCGCTTCTTGATAGAAACTAATTGGTGAGGGCAACTGTCAAACGAGGTTAGGCCTGAAGCTAAATTGAACAAAGAGCAAAAAGAAAATGACGATGGAGTACTGTTCTGATAAGATGGTGACTAATCAACGAAATAAAACTTTCCAAGTACTCAATCGAAGGTACTTTTGGGCAGTGTAAGTACTACTAGCATCTATGGAACCAGATGATGGCAATTCTTAAAAGCCGGTTAGGTTCATTCTATCTCACTGGCAAGCGATTTCTCAAACTTGAAAAAGAATCTTCTCGGTACCTGATACTGAACACTGCCAAGGTGCTTTAGTGGCTGAAAGACGATTGAGGCGGCGGTATCAGTTTCAACGACGATACGTGGTTCGCTTACGACGTACTCGCCTTGAGTTAAGGTGGAGAACACGCTCCATGCAGTTTTGTAGAGACTGGCGTCGTCCCATTTCATCATTCGTGGTTTGCTCACCTAAATATGGGGATTTGCTAAAAATGCCGGGATATTTCTTGAAAAATATGACAGTTGATTTCAATTGATTGGAATGAAGCAGTTCAATGGGAATCGAGAGAACAAGACATAATTAGGAAACACCAGAATTTTAAAGAAGACACTGTTGGTTAGATTACTCGTGCTTAACAAGGACATAGGAAGAACGGCAACTTTGGAGGAAGTAGTCCCTTCTCCTGCCGAAAATAAATCAACTAAATAAGTGGGCATACGGACACCTCAGCCATCAATAATTCATGAAAGGTACCATTATATTTATATTTATGTTCGCAATTCACTGTATGAACATGTACATATAATATGCTCATCACTGTATACTTTTTACTTTGTGACCTTTTGAGTATCTCACATGACTCACATGAAGTGGAGGTAGGGGGGAGAGAGAGGAATAGAGGATAGAAAGAGATGAGTGATACTATCTCTCCACTAATCATCAACCAGCCAACTAGCATTGAAGAAATTCATGCTGCGACATTCAATATTATTGGAGAATCAACAGTTCTCAATTGTAGCCGGAACCATGAAATGCACTCACTCTAACAATACGCAGAGATTTCTCAGGGTATTTAGCAGCTAAAATACCCCTACACTCGCACTTCTTGAGAAAAAAACGGCCTAGCGTTTGCTGAACTCTTTTTCCGTATATAATCTCCAAATCATGGGCGGAGGTTGTATAGTGGCAAGTAGCGCACTATGTCACACGCACGGTCAGGAGTTCGAATCCCAGATCGATGTCCGCTTAGGCCAACCAAGCCCTCCATCCTTCCGGGGTCGGTTAATTGGCAACAGACTCGTCCGGCAGGATAAAAGCACTGACTTGTACATTAGGCTGGCCACCGCAATTCATTCTATAGGCCTCATACGCTGACTACGCTACTACGATTCTGAATGAAGGTCGAGTGCGGGGGCGTATCCCTCAGACGGGATTGATTAACGCCAAAAGACATTAACCTTTTTAGCCTAATCTCCAAATCGAAGTTCTCCGTCTAATGCGTCCAGTGAGTAGATGATATCCCTTGAAGTCTGAGCCGCATTATACTCACCATACACTTTTCAGTTCATCGAGATTTTCAGCTTAAGCAGCAGGAAACTATGACTACGATTTGATATCGGCAGTCGAGCTGGAAGCAAGCGGCGAAATAATCACAAGACTGATTTCTTACAATTATGCCATTAACTGCAAGATTGATGACCAAACTGAGGAAGGAGGGGAATATTCTGGGCAGAAGCGAGCGCGAATATCTTGAGCCTGATTGTACGCGAATAAGGGCTGACCGAAACCCGACTCTCAAACGGCCTTGAGGTCTGTTGAACAAAACCAAAAATGACTTCAAGTAATAAAAACAAAAAGAGAATAATCATCCGATACTGATACAGTCTCTTGTGCCTTTCTAAGTCGATTGGGTTCCGTTCCAAGTCATCAGAAAGTCATGTGAAGTTGTAATATTTCTAGCTTTACTCTAACGCGGAATGGTGAAGCTCAAAATAGGAATGGAGATTGCTCAGCTGCTCCACAGTACACTCAGCCTGTGTGCTGAAGAACTTCGTGATTTGGATCAATTTCGTCATCCTCTGAAAAAATTGTGGATGTGTTTAGTACGGCTAATAGTAGAGGATTTTCCGATATGGAAATCTATGGTCACCGATACATAGGAGAGGTTGTATCCGAAATTTGTGGTCGCAAGATTCTTTTCAAACTCTAGCAAGTCTTTCCTCATTTATTCTAGCCTATTTCTATACGTCATTTTGAATGGGTCACCAGATTTCATCTACGTACGTGACAAAAAGTTAGAAAGGTCTTTACAGTTTTTGCAGAAGAGGACTTCAGAGTGAAATTGCATTGCGCTAACTGTACCTCTCCAAAAATGTATAAATTCATGGACTCCATGCTCAATCTCTTCTATTCCCTTTCTTGACACGATCGAATGTGGAACAAAACGAAAGTCAATTGTTGCACACCTCAGAATTAGTAGTAATTGTGACGTTGTAGGTTGATCCTGGATGGAGATTCCGGAGAACGAACTCAGGCGTCTTGCCAGCTTCACCCACACCCATGTTCATGATCTCCTTCTCAACTTTATCAGGAGAGTGCAGAGTTTTTGCTCGAATCTAAAAATTGAAGAGTCAAAGTATTTTCTAAAATGAATTATGTGAAGAAAGGGTAAGATTTCAAAAGGTCATTCCGATTGAAAAGCTTTGCACTTCGTGATTGCTGGTAAGCCAAACCTGGTGAGTACTCCAACTGAAGAATGCTGCAACAGGTTTCTGGCCTATAACTCATTGACAACGATGTAAAGGCTTTCTTGTGTAATTCGGTAATTCACAAAGTATAAACGCAGTTTGACAATGAGCAGGAATGTATGGCGGACGCCCGAAGGAATAGCGAGTTCAGCTTTGCACCTCAAGATATCTTATTATTGGTCACGGCAGAGGTGGTGTCGTGGCAAGTGGCGCATTATCTACACGTATGATTCGGGAGACGGATCGCGGATCAATATCTACCTAGGCTAACCGAACATTCTACTTCTTCGAACTCGGCAAATTATCATTGGTCAATGATTTATATACATGAAGATAAGAAGGGCTGTGTATATAAAGTAGTTGTAGTGTTATCATCAACCAGCAACGCTGTGTATCATTCACCGCTTAGTTGTACAAACGTTGCGGCTTAGTTGTTGTTTCGATGACTTTTGCTGATTACAGGAGGCGGCGGCGCAGCGGTACAAAAGCTGGTGTGAGCAAAGCTGGAGAGGAGAGAAAAGACCAGACCCCTCGAAGCCTTTCGAGCTGTACCACGACCTCCACCACCCTCGGCTCTCATCTTCCACAATTAAGTGCTATATTGATTCTCCTATTCTGTGTAGTATGTTATAATGGATAAACCTTTATGCACTTCTGTGGCTTGTTCCCAAACACAAACTGGTAGCAGCGATTCAATGCCGCTGGCGGAGGTTACCCTTTTCATTTATTTGTCATCATTTTTCTCACTCCCATATCTTTGAACTGGTCCTTTTGGACATCTTCTGGACACAGCTGATGGCCACAGGTATGGCTCGGTGATGGAGGCTTTCCTTGTTTCTTCTCTGCTCTTGCTCCTGTTAGCTTGTTAGTGAAAGAGGCTGCCCAGTTTTTTCAAAAATATTTTTTCTTTCCTTTTCTCTGCTCAACACTCGGTAGCCTTAGTATTTTGCAACACCTTTTGTTCCTTTCTTATGTTTGTCTAGAGACTGTACATCGTTTTTTATTTCTTTCACACTTTGTTATGGTCAGCATTCGGAGCATCTTTCGTTACTTCTATTTCCTGCTTCTTGCGGACGGTCACAACACCCACTTCTTTTGCGACTCATTTTTTCTGTTCCGGCCGTTCAGACGGATGCTTCCAAAACGTGGAATTCCCTAATTACAACAACTTTTTCCCTTCTACTAAACGCGACCAGAGGACCTACTGGTCATCTGTCTGATGCATACTTTTGAGATTGGGGTGGCCTCATTGCGAACGAATCCCCGGGCATTTTACCTGCGGGCAGACTAATTGCCCTTCCGGTTGCTATACTATCACCGTGGCCTATGAAATAAATGTGCACTCAAAAGGACCGCTCACAAAAAGGACTATTAAGCTCACAGCTGACGTCACATCAAGTAGAGTACTCGGCCGTTCTCAGATGGCAAATAATGGTCCACAGAAAGTAGTAACAGCTGATAAAGCTGATGAGGGTGTTTGAGAGGTTCCGTAGATTGGTACTCGCAGGTTGAGAGTTGTATAGTGATTGGCGGAGTTCCCCAACCAGGTCGCCGCAATGGCAACAGAGCACCACCATTTCGACCTGAAAGAAGGGCAGTTCTGCAAACTGCATAAGCTGTCGCCGGATCTGCCTACTCTCGCACAGTATGGAGATCTTTGAACAAATTTTACATGACCAAATAGTGTGACAACTGCAGCAATTACGACGCAATACATGCCGCTCGGGCGGAGGTGGTGTAGTGGCAAGTGGCGCACTATATCACACGCACGGTCAGGGGTTCGAATCCCGGATCGATGTCCGCCTAGGCCAACCAAGCCTTCCATCCCTCCGGGGTCGGTGAATGGTACCAGACTCGTCTGGGAGGATAAAAGCACTGACTTGTACATCGGCTGGCCACCGCAAGTCATTGTATAGGCCACATACGCACTAATTACGCCACTACGATTCTGAATGGAAGTCGAGTGCGGGGGCGCATCCCTCAGACGGGATTGATTATGCCAAAAAACTTTATCCTTTATCCTTTTACATGCCGCTCGTCTCTTCCTAGAAAGCATCTTGAGAAGTGGATAAGTTCTTGATCGTATACCGCGTATCGTTTATGGTATGCCTTGCAACCCGATTGACGTTCCTGAAGAACTAATTGAGTAGGTGCGCATACTCTACTAGATCGTTGTTGTCATGAATGCCATCATACGAGATATCCAGAACTCAGCCCCGTGAACGCTTCTTTATGCTGACGACGTAATGCTGGCTTGCGAAAAAAAAAGAAGATACTTGAGCAACAGGCCCGAAAGTCTGGCAATTTTCGGGCTCCGGATGAACGTCAAAATGTCAAAACCTGAGTACGTGATTACAGGAACGCGAGAACATGGAGCCAAACGAACAGGGCACAGACAAGCTCAAAGGCTCTGAGCCTCAATGTACATCTATCTTCAAGTACCTTTGATCGGCAATCCCGCCTGACGGAAGTATAGTTTCCAAAGTTAATTCACATGTGAGTTAGGCCTGGTCTTAATGGCTCTCGATGACTGGTGTTTTCAAACCACCTACTAAAGCGCCTAAAAATCATATTGAGTTAATGAAAACGAAAGTGTTGCTGTGGAAGGTTGAAGTCACGCATTTGGGCAGTATTCGTAACGATGCAGTGAGGAAGCGCTTCGGGTTAGCACCTGTTGCTGTTGAAATCCTTGGTACGATCATGTCTCACGCGCGATCAAAAACAGTGTTTGTAAGGTTGGTCTCAACATCGGCGTGTCCAGTAAACGGCCGTGATTACGACTAAAGCCGCGCTTCCGTGACAGCTTGGATGAAGGCTTAAAATTAGCTAGCCTTCATCACAATCAAGCGCTCGATCGAAAAAAAAATGGCGTCAATACACCAGGAAAGCGGATGCTGCTTCTAGGTGGGACAAATGCTAAAGACGAAGAAGAAGAAGAACAAACGAAAGCGCAAAGCACTGCTGTGTTTCAAGGTGTACTCGAGGTTTTATGAGGCTATTCCCTTGAAGCAACTCCTTCCAAAGTGTGTAACGGCTCTACAGAGTGTAAGATAACTGAACAAGCAGAATTTTTCCGAAATCAGTATCACGTCGAGGCTAATTAGGGAGAGACGTACGCTTTCTTTTTCGAAGTTGGGGACTGAGAAGAACATGGGCAATCGCGAATTTCGCTATCGTTCACACGCTAACCCTCGGCAAACCTTTTTCATTTTGCATTTTTTTCCTATGAAATGTTGAAGAAAGCGTTCTTGTTGCAAGAGGGGAATTTCTGTGGTACATTGGTGGAAGCAGAGAGACCTGCTGCAAAATCAATAATCTTTTAGTGAAGATTTTCTTAATCTGTAAAGATGGATTATCCACTAAGAGCGGCAGAAGGAAGTTTCCGAAGGCGGGATGAGCTATTCAATATAATGAACTGGCTGTGTTTCGCTTTCTTGATCGTTTCTGCCAACATAATGGATGGATGCTTTCTCAATTCCTGTCCTTACCGCAGATACGGTCGTACGATTCCTTGTGAATCATGTGGTGAGTTCATGAATTTCCATAGATGGATTTTGAACAATCAAGTTCGTAACGTTTTTAAACTGCACGAACCAGAAGATGAAATTATTATATAGGAATATTTTCAAATGTTTCCTTCTCAAAACGGACAAAACTTCTTTATAATTTCTTGTACTCTGCAACAAATTTGCAAGCTCAACGATCAGTCTGAGGCATCATGAACTTTTTTGGCGTAGAAGATCATCTAGAGGCATGTCGTATAAGTAATTTCAAAGTTTTGAGGAAAAGCAATTTCGAAATTATAAGAAGCCACTTCAAAACGCATGATGCCGATGGCACTCCGCACTTTTGAATCAGACTTAACTTCATGATTTCTGAATTAAGAACATCAAAAGTAAGTGAACATTGAGCTTTCTCTCTGCTTTTCGGAGTGAAATATCCTTTGCATTTACATTGCTGGTATCCCTTGACAACTGATCGTCAAGTGTTAATTCTTAGGATTGTTATCATAACATGAGATTCGGTCTAGCACGAGTTTTCTGACGCAAACATGAAGTTTTTTTGATTAGCTAGATTAGATCATAGCTAGTTGGACACCGGCATCATGAGAAGGTGGAAGGTAGCCACAGGTCTTTCGAAATATTTAAGTGTGAGAGGTCAGTGACTCGAACAGAATCTTTCTAGAAGTAATTTCGTTGTGACGAGTCAGTGGGAGAGATGGCTTGTGATGTAATGTTACCTTCTAACCCATGATATAAGCCTTATGATGGTTTCCCTTTGACAGCTTTCCATAAATATTGCCCAGTAATCAAAATGATATATTTGATCGACTTGTGTCGGATGCCTGTTTCAGTGGATATTTTTAGAGTGTGATGCAATGTATCATCACCGTCCAAAATAAGCTGATTTCATGAAATTTAAAGTGTTGAATCATTGATATGATATAGACCCTGCTTTCAAAAGTACAAGAAAGTCTGGGTATAATTACCTAAATTTTTTGAAAGCCTCTAGGGTCCACTCATCTACTGAAATGAAACAGTTTGTGGCTTGTTCTTCTTCGGACGACGACCATGAGGAGGATGGACAACCCGATTGTCCCAAATTCAGAACGTCTGCCAAAATTTCAACAACCACGCGACACGTTCACTAGTGCTGAGGACCGTCCTCAAATCCAATCTGATAAATGTCAATACACAGTACTGCATTGCATGCGATGCCGATTTGGAACTGTCTCAATCCGCGGACTGCAGAACATGCCCACTAGGCTGGCGTTGCCGCGCCCCTAGGTTGAAGCTCAGGGCGTACGTCTAGTAAAGGTTATCGGACGACTTCCAGTTACGGGATCGTCTGGCCCATTTCGGCATCGGCGGTACAACGCCGCGCAGTTGTCAAAAGATGGAGCAACATACTACTGGCTTTCTCACTCCCACGCTGGTATCCTGATATCTTCGCGACGCATCACCACAATGCTGCCAGCTCTCAACATTTTTCAACATCTTCTATGTGCCCGTCTTCGTAACCTACATCCTTACATTCTCACTTCGGCCGTGATTAAATAAAGTTCTCTTAACATCACGCAGATATTGTCAATCCCCCGGCGCCCCTTCACGTTATCTATCCAAGCCTCACTCAGCTCGCTCGCCGCGATGGGCCGATTCACCGTCTAATTACGGAAACAAGTTCTCTTACCTGCACCCGCTGGCATCACACATCGATCCTCGTTTGAAGCTCAATGGGCTAAAGGAAGAAACAGTCACCTTGGAGGCCCCTCTCCATGTTCATAGCCAGATACCTTCACACGGTTATATGTCCGCCCGATTCGTTCCCTTTTCCGCATCGATTCGTGGTCAATCCGCCACCAACCAATAGAGTGCCTCTCCTGTAAGCACCCATGATCCAGGACATCCGTCAGCACGCAGCACAGCTCACAGTAGAACTTCTAGACCATTGCTTCCGCGACGGCTCCGACGAAGTTTCGTCATTGCCACGAACTCGGCTCGGCACTGCTCGTACAACTGTATCTCCCCTCTCGCCACGGAATCCTACCGCTACTTCACGAAATTGTGAACAGGAACTACGGACAGAGCTCCATGATAGACTATCTTTCCAACACTCGAGGCTCCGATAAGGGCCAACCTCCCGTGAAAGCCTTTGTTCGGGTCCTCTCCTTAGGATCCACGCTTAAGACACTGAACACATGGTACAGAAAAACAGTTCTTCAACAGGCACGACTTCTCCGCTCGTCCGTCATCGACTCAGGAAACCCTTTTTTTCCGCGTCCATGAGCTCGTCTTGGCCACACCTCCACGACTCCAGCGACACATCCAAGGATTTGTCCTCGCAGTTAATCGCCGTGGACCCAACGCCGACGTTAATCATATCCACGTTGCATTTGAGGGATGCCGCGAACCTGTCATAGTCACGCAATCCCTTTGCGACTTTCTGCTAGACCAGATAGATCGCAAAGACCTTCTCTTCGCAGAATCCCGACTTAACATTTCCTCTTTTATGCTGTTCTCACACCAGGCCACATCAGTCGTTGCTCCAGACTTCTTGACCAATATGGCCGAGAAGCTGGTGTGAGTACCGCAGTGCACGGGATACGTTAGGTCGGGTCGTGAGCACACCTGGACTAAGCAATATTACCGCTGCGGGTTACGAGGCTCTCCCCTGAGGACCTTCAATGGGTCCAGGATCGTTTAGGTCCCCTTACCAGTTACAACAACCAGCCACAGGCCGCCCGACACCACATGGAAAAACTGTTCGCAATGGCCAGCGCACTCCTCGCTGCTCAAGTTACGATTGCGGATGATTGGAGACCTCACCATGTTATAGTCACTGTCCCTAGTTTGGCCTCGATCCCACTGCATCGAATTGCAGCTGCCAGCCATGTCTTCTAAAGGCGGATGGGCACGGTCTCGCTTTGCCGACATTTGAATAGTTGACTCCAATCTCGTCCTCCGCACCAAAATGGCCGACATCTTCTCCTCGAGTTCACGTCGGACTGTTCACGTTGAACTACTTTTGGAAGCACGAATTCATAATCCACTTCGCAACGCGATTCGACGGTTCGGCACAGTCGACGCAGACACGAACAGCGCTCATATCGATCTGTGCGTCCGTCTTGGGCGCATCTCTTCAGGCATGGATCCAAGCTTCGAGTTCGTCGCCACAAAGGACCTCGCAACGCTACTAAGACCAAATCTTCGGACTGTCGCCCACTCAAGCATGGATGCTGCATATGCCAGTTCTCCACGTCCAGGCCAAGATGAAAGATGTAGAGCTCCACTGGTGGAGCCCTCGATCACCGTCAGCAAAAACACACTCTAAACTTACGTAGAGACCAAGCCAACGCAGCGCAGATGGGCACCGGCTCCGGTCACTTTTGGCAATCCAAGCAGCATATGGCACGGAGAAATCTGTGGTAGGGGCCAACATCGCCAGCCGATTCGCCCAGCTCACAGACGGGACGTTGGTAGTCGAGACGGCCACTACCAACGTCGCCGTCGCCTAATTCGTTGACACCTTACTAGCTAAAGACGGAAACCGACAGCACCTCACCACTCTCCGCTTTTTGGCGGATTCACCTCTGCAAGAAGGCGCCCCAGCGACCGCAGTCGATCTTCACCGGTAGTTGTCGACCTTCTGGTCAATTGTCCCGACTCACTGAGACCTCATGAACAGGAATGACCGTCTTCTGATAGAACGCGTACCCTTTCCCGCGGTCATGAAAGGGAAGAGTGCGCGATCGGACTGCTGATCCTTTTCCGCTTTCCCACCATCCTATGTATCACGGTATCCTCAATGCTTACCACGACGAAACCGGGAGGACTTCTTCACGGTGCACTTTCCGACTGACGCATCATTATAGGGGATGAAGCGTCACAAATCCCCAAGCCAGCCTTCGTAGCATAAATCGCCCACTTTCCGCAGGCACGGCAGATCTATATCGGGGACGTTTATCAAGTGGAACTGCATATACGCTGCCCAAGATCGACCTTGGCTGCCCGACCTGGAAGTAAGGGACTCATGGAGATTCTACTTTGAAAGGAAGTAAATCCTGGCCCCGTTGGCCACCACATATTGAGCGCACCGAGCGCTAAAATGAATTACCGAACATGCTTGTGTACGGAGGACAACACATACACGGAACCCCGGCTTCGCAGCGAACGCTTCTCTTCAACCGCCTCTCTTTATCGAACCCCTCGCTTCCTCTAGTAGTCATCAACGTACAAAGATGATCATCACCATCCATCGGGGTCATAACTTTTTATAAAGACTAGCAGCGACTTTTAGAGGAGCCGGCGGTGCGCATGGGAATTCGTCTCTATACTGCAGACTCCGTGCAAGGTCGTGAGATGGAGTCGTCATCCGACTCACTACCCGCACCGGAGCACCTGGAGCAGGTTCCGGGGAATTTCTCGACAACATCAAACGCTTAAATGTCTCACCAGGTGCCGCCATGGATTGTTCATTCTAGGGGACGTGGCAGCACTCCGTTCGCTCTCAAATTGGGAACGTTTGCTCCGATGGGCCGAAGCGCCGGACGAACGCTCTTCACTTCAAGATTTATTTCTCTGAGTAGTCAACTCCACGCCACCGGTACGTGGACCTTCCTTTTACTCCTTCATGCCTCCCAGGCTCATAGAACAGCGTAGCCTCTAACACTGCTTTTTCAGGCCGACCACTAAGACGTTCTCGTCACTCTACCCAACCACTTCAATTGCACGCAATATCACCGTTCTACGATTTCGCCTTGTTTTACGAATATTTTCGCCATAACTAGGTAAGTCAATCGCTCGGACGCTAGTCCTGAACACTTTACGCTCCTGGACACCTCAACGTCCAGGAAGGACGTTTTGTGAGGGNAAGGGGGGGGGGGGGGGGGGGGGGGGGGGGGGGAGATGTAAGAGCTCATAGGGCTCCGTGGAGTAACAGTTGACGGCATTAAAAACCAATAAGATATAGACATTCGTAGCGACTCAGTTGTTGCTTCGATGACTTGTGCTGATTATAGGAGGCGGCGGCGCAGCGGTACAAAAGCCAGTACGAGCAACGCTGGAAAGTAGAGAGAAGACCGTACCTCTGGAGCCCCGTCGAGCCGGACAACGACCTCCGTCACTTTTGTTCCCCATCTTCCACTATAAAGTATTATACTGATTCTCCTATTCTATGTAGTCTGTTATAATGGATGAACCTTTGTGCAATTCTGTGGCTTGTTAATAAAAAACAAATTATGTAATGTTAAGACCAGGGGCAACACGTGGAAAATTCGTAAGATTTAAAGGTATTGTTATGAATTCCATGCCGGATATGAAGTGCCGGAATTCTGAAGGGATTCCCCTCATAAAGTTTGCGGCCAGAAATAAATCATTTGTTTTGGAAAGAGATCCCTCCTCTATGCAACATAACTGGCATATGAGCGCTACCATCGTTCTAAATACAAACTACTAATTCTTTACAAATAGTGACGACATGTGCAGATATGGTCCCAGCCACCGCGCTTTGTGCTCGCGGTTGTTTCATTCTTTAGTAAAGGCATTCCTTTGACAAACCGTATATCTGGAAGTAGGCGAGGGCAACCACTGTGAAGGCCACGTCAATGTGAGTGCATTAGGAGACTTCATTCGCTGTCTCAAAATGAAGCCGTCTGAGGTTTGGCTCAGTGTAGAAAACACCGCCCATCCAAGCATGCCATAACCGTAATTTGTACCTGCCTAAAAATTTAAAATTTCATTCCTTGAGATTTAAGCCTCTAATAACCACTCAGGCCCAAATGAGCCGAATTATGCGCTCGAAATGGGACAATTACGGTATCCGCTCCTTCAGTGAATGAGCGGATACCGTAATTCTTCAGTTAATATCATTAATATCCCCTTCTCAAAACTGATGAGGACGCGAAAATGAAATGCCGGGAAAAAAAGATTCAAAAAGTACCTGGAGAGTGACATTGTAGACAGAACCAGGTGTGAGACGTCCAATGGAATACGACGTCTTCGGTACGGGCACATTGAGCGAGAATTTCTTCACAAGCGACTTTGACGATGGTATAAACTCGTACACGTTCATCTGAGCAAAAAGAAAACTAAGAGTTAATCTTAGGACAGTGTTGAGTGATGCTATAACACCGTTACTTGATCATCTTGTTTCTAAACTAGATTGGCTGAGCTCCTATTACTGCTTGGGCATCAAATGGGAATCTAAGCTGAATCTCATAAAAGCAACGAAAAAAAGCGAGGGAAATCGGTTTTGATTAAGCTCTTGTAGTCCATCAGTACAGGGAAACCCAAGTAATTTCCTACTTGGAAAATCCTTTACGACCCCGTTCATGAAGTCATGCATGAATTCTCCCATTGCAATGAACAGAATCTAGAATGGAGTCACAACTGGTAGAATTTTCAAGAAGAAAGGCTGCTGTAGACTGAGAACCGTATACTTTTCACAATTCGGCCAAAGTGATACAGAAGTGGTAAGGCTCAATGTGCTTTCAAGATCGATTGAACTTGAGCGAAGTAGATCAGAAGTGAATAATGGAAGGTAAGAATGGTGATTGCGATGAATGGTATGAGAAGCTCCTAAAGTTGACTGCTGCCTACAGCAAGGCTACATGCATCACGGTTTCCAGGAAACGTGAAGCAAGACAGACGGCTTATGTCAGGTTCTACAGATACCAAGACCGTTTTCAAAGAGATGAGGGAGATCATACCGACTCTCTAGTGAGGACTGCGCAACGGGAACCAGAACTAGTGAGTGAACTAGAGTCCAGATTACATCCTCCTAGAAAACCACTGTAACAGAAGAACTAAAAACAACTGTAACATTAGAACAACAACCGGAGGGAGGTTTGAGAAACGACTGCCGCCCTACGACCGTCAAATCCTGCATTTTGCAATAAACACACCAGGAGAGATACAGTAGGATGAAGCAAAGTTGTGATATTTTCGAAATTTTCGAAATAAATTTCAAAAGTTACTGGGATATGAAGAAGACAGATCCTAATATTTGGTACTAAACAAGGATAAGCATAGCTTATTCGGTTGAAATAGTGCAGGAGAACGGCGAGGCAACAAAGGGCATGGCAAAAAGCACACAAACGGACTGCTTCCTGCTGACCAAGCGGAGTCGAAGTTTCCTATCCTGTCAACAGAAGCACGGAACTGTGTCGGGAAAAGTCCAGGTCAGACAGTAAAATTCCAAAAGCTTAGTCCGAGCGGTGGTCAAGAATGTATGGGACGAGCAATATGGAACGAGCTGGCTTCTGAACTTCCCAAAAAAACCACTCCGAAAAGGAATCTGACCCCTCCAACTGTGGATGAAAAGAAGAGCGCACCGAGCCAACGTAGAATGAAACAGTGCTGGCTAAACCAACGTATTAGTAGAAGCCTTTATTCGGAAGTAGAATACGGAAGAGTTTTCACTTACAATTCGTGGAGCACTGCTGGAGAAGAATAATACTGGTCAGACGATCAACCCGGTCAGATACTTCCAAGAAAGCTCCGAGGTGAGGATATGTATGTACTCCTTGCGGGCTCGAAGCACAGCTCAAGATAATTTTGTGGAATCTAATTTAAGATGAATAATAAAAGTGCAGAGTAGCGCAAAAGTGGCAGAAAGGTATCAAAAAAGGCATTAAAAAAAGACAAAAGCAGGGGTTGGAAGAGAATATGGCGATAAAATTTGCATGACATGATACTCGAACGAGTTGTCCGAGCGTGTGCGGGAGCGAACTGTACAATCAGGGACAGCAATACACGACCGCCAAGGGATCACAAGTTTGCAATCAGTAGGACCCACCTAACCACCACTTTACGATTGATCCGGTAACCTTTAGTTCGTCGGGAGCGAAGCTTCCAAGCCCAGTACCTCTGCAAGCAAACTGGCAGGATATGCATGGAATTCAACCGGATTCTGCAGATATTGTGGTGCAAGAAGACCATTGAGTGGCGATTGCAAGCGGCATTGAGGTACGCGTAAGTCGCATAAGTGTGATGAGGAGGATTCGATGATGGCCCGAACAGCTCGGAACAATAGTATGAAAACAGGTCGTCATGCAAGTAGTTACATCTGGGAAACTGGTCATTCAGCGCCTATTATCAACCACCTAACCGCTCCATCTTTTTACAATGGCTTACAAGAGCTATTTTTATTCAAAATTATGAACAGTGTGGCCAATTAGCTGACGGTCGATGTGTAAACTTGGTTGTTGCTTGAGAAATCATTCCCATCTTTTTCTGGAACTTTTAACTGGGCCTTCTACGTGTGTTTTTAACTCCAAGCTTTTTCGTACAATTTCATTTTCTGCTACATACGTGCCAGCATCATTTCGAAGCTACTTTTCCTTCATCAGTAAAGGACGAGTACAGTTGGATTTTCCGGTTGGCGTTATCGGGGGATCAAGCAGATGTATGGTAGAGGTCAGCAGTGAGTTTTTAAGGCTTTCGGGTAGAAGTTGGAAGTTGGAATTATTTTCTGAAGTACGAAACTTCTTGTTCAGATCATATTATTACTATGAAAAACTCTTCTCCGCAGACAGGCAAAAAGTCACAGGCAGGTGCCAAGTGACAAAGATGAGAACTTTCCATGGTTCTCTTCTTTGCCACTCAGCACCTGTCTTTGGCTACAGTGTGGAGTGATGACTTTATGATGAGAAAAAACTTTGAGTTGTGTTAGTAAATGAAAACGTGATTTTAGCTAGAAAACAACGTATAATTCCTAACGACAACTACTTCTCAAATACATTAAGCCAGTCACTCATCACGTCAGTTGAATGAGAGTCCCGAGGATATTGACCTCTGTCGATCGAATTGCATGACTCCCGCCCTTCCCCGGTGAAGAAAAGAATATCACCGGAATGATACTGACAGGTACGAGCCAGCAAGTTGAAAAACGGAATTCGAAAAAGGTCGGATTCTAAAGCTGTGGCAGGACAGCCCGGTTGGGCCCAAAAAAGCTACAGTAGGATTTTCAGAAGAAAAAACTCCTATCGAGTACGCTCTTCAAATAGAGGGCGCTCAAAGTACGAGATATGTAGCTGCTTCAAGATCGGCCGATCTCACGACTGCTTGGCACTTGTTGGTGCTTGATAGACGTCTATAATAGCCGTCACCTCCTAGTTTGGAAGTCCCCTGATGCAATATGAAGAAACTGCAAAGGAGAAATCAGTGACCAAGTGCTGATTGATGACGGCGTTATGACCGGTTTCATGGATGACCGGCGGCGACCAGGAAATCTCCAGCGATGTGTTCGTTTTGTCCAGGACAACGATGTCTGTTGGAGCAGGCAACCAGTTCAAGGCTGTAATGAGTATAATCACGGGATTGAAACTACATAAAAGAACTAAACGTAGCTGGACACAATTAGAAACTAACAGCATATCATTATTATCATTATCCAAAAGTCCAACTCACCAGCAAGGCTCGTAGTGAAAACGTTGCTAGCATACCAAAGACTAACGTCGTCCTAAATGTAACAGACCATATTGAGAAACTAAGTGCAGCAGAGAATTGATTGTACAGCAGTTAAAACTCACGTCGAAGGCCTCTACAGAAGCTCGGTAGGTTGTGTTCCCCATAAGATTCGTAAATGTGTATGAGCGCGGCTTCGTCCCAACATTCACAGAGACTGATGACTTCGAGAGATGGTGAGAGCCTCAAAAGGCATACTCCTCACTGAAGGTAAGGTGCTCATAACTACAGTAGCGCTCAAAAGACTTCGGCCAAATACTTCTTCAGTCGTACTTTTCAGTCGTAATTCCTTTTCTACTGAATGTAATCATGTGAAATTTCGATATGTGTTGCATGGGTCTATTTTGAATATTTACCACTATTGACCTACAATTTGATCATGTTTCAGATATCCCAAAAAGCTTGAACCCAAAACCTACTAAAAATACGAATGATGGTCCTTCTGGAATTTCTTTCCTTTTTGTCATGTCTTAAAAGCACAATTCACGATTATTTTGCTGTAGACCTTTTGGGTGGAAAAGTGAAAGTGCTGAGTAGAGGAGTATGTACATCGGTGGCGAACAAAGCTAGAAAATCCGTCTACTTCAAGACTTTTCAAAAGTAGTGGAAGTGGAGGTTGTACGAGATTACCGTGACGGTGAAGGCATGTAGGAGGTGTTTGGACGAGATTTGACCTGCTTCCATTGCTCAAAGAGATGACTATATCAAGCCAAAATTGTCCGAAACTGTCTTTCACTATCGCCATGCGTTATGAAAGTTGTTTGAACTTCCTACAACTTCCCACATAAAAGTCTCTTCGGATAGTGCAGCCTCTACAAAGCCGTTGAAACTCGTCCACGATGGGTAAGTCATTCACAAGATACAATCTCTGGGCCCATACTGTGCCCTATCCATGACGTTTTCCGACCATATATCGGCAGGTATGGTATGGGGGAGCTTCAAATTCATACTATGGGGAAATCCAAAACCATTTTCATCGTGAGATGTGCCTTTAAGTGTACGAGCGCTAATGCCGAACACAGTAGAGAAGAAAAACGCACATAAGGGGGCGAATAACTACGGACGTCACTTACTTTGCTTCTAGCGAAGTCTGCTACAGCAACAAACACATTGCTCTATCCAAGGATATCGCTGCTTTGCAGTCAAATAGTGTTGGATAGTGGGAAATATGCTTTGTTATAGATATCAAAATTTCGCGCGATTTGTCCCACTAAGAAAAAAGTTATGAACGAAAAAGCGTAAGAGCGTTTGGCCGAAGGCTTTCGAGCGCTTCTGTATGTACGTATGACGCTATGACGTTTGTCGGCTATGACGTCAACCTTCGGCTCCGCTTTAGCAGAAGTTGGGAGGTACTGCCCTCACCCCTCGAGGATTGCTACCCTCATCCGCTTTCAACATCCTAGCTGAACTTCACCGAAAGTCTTTACTAACATGAGTAACTTCTACACGGGCCATGACTCGATGGAAGAACAGGAAACAGTAGCTTTCATCTTCCAACGACGCCTCCTCAGACTTCATCTGATTATTAGCATCATCGCTATCATCAAATATGAATTGGTAATCGCAAAGAGAGTTTCTTTCCGAAATCTAGTATATGGTTGGGAGAGCAATAAAAGAAATCCCATTTTTGGCAAGGGCAAGTTTAAAAACACTTTTGACATAAATTGGTGTAGACGTTTTAAGTCGATCACGATCAATCGAGTGGGCATGTTCCCTCGAAAGTTCACCGCATGAAGGAGCTGCTGTAAACGGTTGACTAATTACTCCGATTCCATTATATCATGCAAAACGATTATATCCTTTTCTTAAAAACCACAAATCTTCCAATAGCAGAAAGCGCAGGCACAATAGTGGCTATATGAACCACATCAATCTTAGCCATCGCAAGCAAATCAAACTTTCCTTCAAGAACGAAACTCAAGTAGCCCACTGGAAAACAATAAAGGAGATGAAAGGGGTGGGGTCATTACACAGGAGGGCAAACACGATACATTCGTCCAACTAGAATATTTTTTTTCAGTTTTTGAAAAAATTTGGTTCCAGAGCTTGACCAGTAGTAATGACATCAAAGTATTATGGAACAGGATGACTGACGCTATTGAGGAAATCGAGTTTTTGGAAGCGGAAGCGCAAAAGTTCGGCAGCGCTGCCATTCCGATTTTTTGCATTAGAATACTGCGCCACACTTTTCTTACTTCAAAAAAGCTCAAACGATGAGCATACCCACAGTCGGACTACTGGAATCACAGATGTTTCCTAAACAAGCGCTGAACACTGACCATCTTAGCGCCCCCCGCTCAGCTCTCGGGATGCCGCAACTGGTTATTGCTGCTGTTTCCTGAGACAGTCAGTTTTTTCTGAGGTCAATGCTTCAGTCTCCTAAATTAGACGCGAAACAGGAGAGAGGTAAGGCACATCTTTGAAGAAGCAGCAGACAATTTTGGGCTCTTCCAATATGTGAATTCGCTTGTGCTTGAGAAATTCAGTACCAACGAGAAGCTATTTCCATTCTCATAACTTTCTATCTGACTGTTGGTAAATAAATCCAAGGAATCCAAGTTGCCTCACTCACAGCACCTTTTCCGTGTCACTCATATTCTCAAGGCGTATCGCGCTAGGAATATCATGAAGCCCGCTTTTTCCGCCAACTATAAACTCGCATACCATGACAAATAATCTATTAGGTTGATGCATAATTATTGCGGATTTTCTCAACAAATGTTATTCAACGAAACGATGAAAGTACTGAACAAAAACATGTTCAAATAATTATTCCGGAACTCATCACAATCTACGTCAAGCACGGTTTCCCATTGGCTAGATGTTCGGGTTCCAAAAGCGAAGAAGTTTTGATTCTTGGGGGCGACCCACGCCTTGACGTTGGCCATCAAGTCATCCAAATCGACGTAACTCCTACTCCCTAGCCATTTTTTCAGCGGACGGTTGGAGAAATAATCCATAGAAGTTCCTGCTGGTGAATATGGCAGATTTAGGAGCAGACCCCATTTCTTGGTTGGCTTTGGATGATTGTTCCATCGCTGAAAGTTACTGAGATCGCGGAATGACTCTTCCACCTTCCAACCTTTCTCGAAGTAGTAGAGCCTAATTTCGCTAAAATGCGGATGTTTTTTAAGTACATTTTTGTAGAAGAAATCAAGTAGATCATCTCTTTAAAAAACTCGAACTCAATATTCAAATTCTATCGGGAGAAAAAAAAGCCGCAAAAAAATCCGCAATAATTATGCATCAACCTAATACTATGTCGTCAGCCTTATGTATTTTGAGGCTTCATTAAACATTGAGAAATAAGTAGGATCATGATAAAACAACAAACTTCTGATGACCGAGACAACGAGACGTTGTTTTGTAGTTTGCTCGGCGACGTTCGGTGGCAATCTCCATCTGATAGTGACTTCATCGTTTCGAATATCCACAATCTCTACAGGGTCCATCTCAAGATCTGCAATTACTTCATAGTACCTTTTGAGAACGATTGATCGAAAAAAGAGGATTGCTGCCAAATTTTGCCAAATTATGTCAAACATAGCATTTTAGTAGAACTAACATGGCTCATAACTAAAATGTGCTCTGCCCCTTTATATTTCAAGCAAGTTTTGCAAAGACCTTCCCAAAACGCAAAGGTGCTCAGCACCGATACCCCTCTAGCCAATCCGAAAAAGAAGTAGTTGGTGGGATTGGAGGATGGGGGTAGAAGCTGGGGTTTCACAATGCTTACGATTGAAAGTTTGGCGCAGAAGCTCCTAGATTACAAACAGAACGAGTCTAGATTTCGATTTTGAAGCTTACTACAATAAGAGGAAAAATATCAAGTTTCATGATTCTCTACAAACCATAGCCATGTTACGCCCCCTTTCTACTCGCGCAACCTGATTTTCGCTGTAATCATGATGTCAGCCACCCTCTATGCCAGACGGAAAAGGTTAGTATCTACCGAAATTCCCCTGAAACAGTCTTTTCGGAATGATTCCAGGGAGGGATTACAGACAGCAGAAATCTTGGCTTTGTTGTTGAAAACCTCCATCCTGAGTGCTAAGATGCTTTTTGCCCCACTTTTCGAAGTGAGCCGTCTCGCCCAGAAAAAAAATGTGTCTTGGGAAAGAAAATTCATGAGAAACTCACTTACAATCTGAAGAACTCGCAGTGCCATAGCAAAAAGCAAGGAGAGCGGTCAATACCGCCGCTATCATAGCTAATCAATGACGAATGAAGAAAATGGAGAAATGGAAGTTGCGGCGCGGTAACACGTCTGAGTGGCAAGGCCAGTCCAGCAGCGAACCAGCCGCTTATTCGCGCACCAAAAATAGGCGGTATGCACGCGACACGAAACTGTGGTCAGTGGTCGGTGGGTCCGCGAGGTTCAGGTGGGCATTCCAGCGCTTTTTCTGGGGTAGTGAGACATCGTGTAGTCTTTTTGGGAGATTACGTCTCTATTTAATGAACAGAAGAAAGAAATCCCCGAACTGTTTGTAGCTTGTTTTGAGATTTCCATATACGACTGAATTTGACCGTCCAAAGGAGGCACAAATAGATGAAGTTCTGATACTATATACACTTTTTGCATTGAACTATTCAAGGCATGATAACTTGGAGCAAAAAGATAACGATTTTTGAAAAACTAGGGTGGGATGAAAAGGCAGGGCAACGAAAAAAAATATGACTCACCCTCAATATTCAAGAAAAACGACCGAGTTAGTTCTCACGTTTCCTATGTGGAATATCTCGTGGTTCAACGCAGATTGTCAAGCTTCTTCTGGAACTTAGGAAAATTGTTTCCAAACTATGGGAAATGCTAATTGTTGAATACGAGGATAGGTTTTCTGGGACTAAGGATCAAATCATATGTTTTTGCCTTTTTTCCTGCTTCTGCTTGCGTTTTTTTATTATAAATGTCTCTCTCGGTCGAATTTCGCGGGTAAGCTCATTCATTTCAAACAAAACCGGTATCAGAACGATCAGAAAAATCTCAGGAGAGTTTATCTCACGCTCAGTTCTTGAATAGGAAAGCTATCGCAACTCGTTCGACAGTTTATGGTTAGCGATTGCCTTCTGGAGTCGTTGCCAACGACGTGCCCTCGGAAACGTTGAATCGAAAAGAATGACAAAAAACGTGCCGCGCTTTTTCGTTTT